ACTTTCCAATGAATGAGTACTTCGGGGACACTGCGTTTGGATTGTTGTATTATGTAATATCATCTACTTGCGCCGCACTGCGTGCCTGGGCGGGAAGCCGCAGGAAGCCGGACGTAAGTGTTGGTTACGGAGTCTGCGGAGTAAGCTAGTTTACGGGAGGCCCGAAGGCGGGCGGGAGAAAAATACTGGTTGGGTCTTAGTACCTGTCTACCGGCAAGGGCGGGGGTCGCCCATGGGACGATCACAATGCATTGGAAATGCAAAGTTTTGGGGCACGCGTGCTGCCCGTAGTTTCTGGCAGGGTAGTGGGACGTTTGGGGCAGCGCGCGCGCACACACCTCACTTCGTTTTCGCCCTCCCTCCCACACCTGGGGGGGATTGGCTGCGCTGGATATTTGATCTTTTGGAGAACGCTTAGTCACGAGGTGACAGGGACCGGACAAGGCACACTTTCCAATGAATGAGTACTTCGGGGACACTGCGTTTGGATTGTTGTATTATGTAATATCATCTACTTGCGCCGCACTGCGTGCCTGGGCGGGAAGCCGCAGGAAGCCGGACGTAAACGCCTGCATTCATACTTGGTATGACGGCGTAAAGACTATGTATTTGCGCGCCGTTACACGTAAAAGTAGTTTGTGCGTTTTACGCCTAAGTGCGCATAAAAATACGTCAATACAAGCGCTGCATACATAAAAACAGTACACACAGACTCAGGGAATCTGAGGAGTGGCAGCCAGACGCGCTGGAGTGTGCAGAAACGACCTTTTGTTTAAAAACGTCGTTGCACTTGCTGAGGACGGGTGGACGCAGTGCTACGCGTGCATCAGGGGCGGAAAACTGATCGTTGTTTGTGACCTCATCATATAAACTGGCTATGTCAACGCCCCGCGAAATACTTCAATCTAGACGTGATGCTCGCGCTTTCTGTGTTTACGCGGTTGTACGTGTAAAACGCTAACATAAAAATGCTGCCGCAAATAACAATCCCGCATGAAGGTAATTTGCTTCAGGGGATCCGATGACGTCACAGACCTGAAACCTTCTGCTTCCTGTTTTTGGGAAGATGGGCGTGCCGCTGGGAAAGAGAAATGATCAACCGTCAGTAGGTTCTGAAGTACGGTGCACTGCCATGAAATAACGCGTGGATCATCAACTTGCAACGAGTCGTTGTAATGAGCGTAATAATGAGCGTCGGACGCTCAGAATTAAAGGGGTTTGAATTGGCACAGACTGGCATCTGCGCATTTAGAAGCCTTAATTTAACGTCCTGAAGAACGGCGTCATTGCCCATAGACACATACTAGACTAATTTGTCGACTGTTTGCTTGCAGGTGGGGGACCCATATATCTGCTTCAACCAGTAGTCTGCTTCTACAATCATATATCTACTTCTACATGTATTTGTTCTGAGATTGTCCCTCAACCGCAGTCCACTTCACCCCCAACCCCCAGCCCACCCCCACCCCCCAACCCACACCCAACCACACCCCACACCACCCAATCCATCCACATCTCGGCTCTATTACAGTGCAATGGGCTATTGGTGATCTGGACATCGGCAAATAGAACAGCCATTGGCGACAGCCACCAACGGGACAACAGGTAAGGAACAGCAGTTGGAGCAAGAGGTTTGCCCTTGAAAAACGCGCCTTGCAGCGATTCAAGGCGTAAATGGAGCTGAGCGATTACCAGCAGGTCCTGCAGGCGGGAACAGAAGCATCTGGTCATCCATGTTTTTTCGATGATGACAGCACTCCCTGTTTTCATTTTCAAAATGAAACTTCCCAGATTGGGAAAAGGACAAAAGGGGCCCTCTGTGGGGTCGCTCCTAGTAGGACCGGTTTGCCAGCCGGCGCCAGTTTGGCGCCGATCTGACATTGCATCTAGTGTACCTTTTGTCAAATGCACCACCGCAGAGGACCCCCTCTTGTCAAGATATCGCACAGAGGAAACCCTCTTGTCATTTTCCCTTTCATTCTTCATATGTCTCCTTAGAATGAGGCGGATATAATTGGATCTAACAACAAGTTCCCATGCTCTTTAGCCCAGCCATACTTCTAGTTCATTCCAAAGCAGACAAAAGGGTAACAGTTGGCTGTTTGGCGATGTTAGCGTAGTGCTGAAAGCAGCACCAACGGCGGAATTCACCGGCTCCAAACTGGCGGTGCGAGGCAGCTGGACATGCGCCGGGCCCCCAGTTGCAGATGCATCTCATTCACAAAGGAGATTCCAACACGTGGCGGGCGGTCATGCCTTGATACGGTCACGCACTGTGTCGCATTGCATCATTGTTTTCGATGCAGTCAGGTGTCGGATTCAGTTGGGACGGCAATGCATGACAGGATCACGGGTGGCCGTCAAGCCAGAGAACTACGTATTTTTTTGCTTGTGATCTCAGTACTAGCCTGAACGCTAACATGCACGTGCTATCTGGCGTTTCATGCTACTCGTCACTCGTTGACATGGCGAGCTGGAGGGAATGTCCTGTTGAAAATGGACACATTTGTTTCAATCTTGGTATCAGATGTTGAAATGCCAATGGCGGGCAAAATCGGCATTGACGCACAAAGCCCGTGCGGGCTTTAGTTCTTCTGTGAATGGTCTTTGTTGACACAGAGCTTCTGCTTATCGAATAAGCTATCTTCTCAATGGTTTTCTTCCCAAGGCCACGATTGTGTGGGATGCGCCGACAATTTGAATCGGCAGCTCAATTTGATGGTCATTTCAGTCGCCGCCCATTGGTTACTGTCTGCATAATACTTTGGATCCGTCAGCGTCCCAGGAGCTCAAAGATCAACATAGGCAGCTCGCCGCCCTTGGAGTTTGCCGGGCCTGGGGGGCTGAGCAGGTGCGGGTGTTTAGCCCTCGGTTCCCACACTATCTTGTTTCGTGCCAGCCCTGCCCGCCCACGGAGAGCGAAGTTCAGCCAGTTACGGGATGGGCGAGGGAGTGAATTACGGGACTAGGGGGCTCATTCATGACTGAGGCACGTATTTGTGAAGCGCAGCGTCCTGCGAAGCGAATGGGCATGTTTGAGTAATGTTCTGGTCGAAAGAGATGCGAGAAAGCGACGCATAGATTATGATTGAGTGGAAGGGTTGAGGAACATCTCATTATCGCTGTGGCGATCCATAAGAACCGCAGCGTTTAGTAATAGTGATCGTAACAATGAGCGAGCAAACACCGAATTTTGTGACTTACAAATCCCATACGGCATGTCGAAACAGAACGCCAGTTGCTGCTCTGTTTTCCCCCCTTACCAGGACCTACCAAAAGATGCCTATCTTCTGTGAGCCTTTTAGATCAAGGTATTTGGTTATGATGGTATCACCCCTCGCTCGTACCCTGCAATCCATCACTCCATAAATCAACAGTGTCTGTTTGCGACAACAACGCCAGACTCTCCCCTTTAAATCGTAGCCAATGCATTTTTCTTCCACAGCACCCTACGGCGCTCCTTGGAGCACCTTCTTCAATTCGCCGCTGGGACCAATCTTCCACTGCAAGGAGTCAAGTTGACAAGGTGTACATGCCAATCAGGCACATGGTGAAGAAATCCAAGGCCCCAGCCCTGCTACCCTCTCCAACCATAGTCCTCATATAGCTGCCTCAACCTAAGGAAGCGCGCGAGCTGCCTATGTTTCTGCTTCCTGGTGGCAGACCCCACTTTGTGAAATTATCCGATGCGACATCCTGCAATGTGCACCCTGATTCAGCAATGCACAGTTCTTTCGCATTGCCCCAAAGTTCGTTCACAAACAGAGCGTACCAAACCGAACCAGGGCACGCGCTGTCAATGAGACCACCCTCTCACCCCGCCCTGAAGAAAGCTGGAATTCATTTCAGTAGCTATGAAAGCTTAGAATAAAGTACAGGTTCCGACGGCAGCTTTCTGCCTGAGTTTCTAGCTAGACTGCTCCCCTTTGAATGCATCGCGATGGGGATTATTCCTTGACCCTGATGAGAAGCTGCCTCCCTGGGCCCCGCCACTCAGGGTCAAACGCCGGCGCCCCCCCCACGAGAAGTATTGTTCGCTTGTTTTGTAGCTGACTTCTGCATAGGGGTCACTGGAGCCTGTGGTCACCACTGCACCCCAACCCTGCCTATCTGGGTCCCCAAGGTAGTACTGATCTTCAGGTGTGCCTCCCTGAGCCACCTGCTCTCCATGTGGCCGAACGCCAACTGGGTAGATACTTTCCTCAGGCGGTTGTGACCATGGGTAGGGTGAGGATGGGTCGGAATAGCTCTCTGCACTGACTGCTGGCCCCTGTGAGCCTGTGTTCTCTGTGCTGGGGCCCTCTTGGCTGTATGAGTCAGCTTCGCCTGTGCTTCCCGTCGGTGGAGAGCTGCCATATTGCTGATAGTAGCCCTGCCTATCATTGCGTGGTTGGGAGTAGCCATGATGGCCGGTGCTTGGCCTGGAGTAGCCGCGGGATCCGGTGCTTGGCCCATGGTAGGCCTGATAATCAGTGCTTGATTGACCGTTGCCCTGGTTGTCTTCAGTTGGCTGGGGACTGCCCTGACTCTCTGTACTCGGTTGCGGAATTCCCTGGTAGCTCGTGCCTGATTCCGGGGCGTCTTGATCCTCTGGACTTGGCCGCCAGGAACCATGACTGCCCGGACTGGGCCGCGAGTACACATGGCCGGGTTGCTGCTGCCCCAGGCTGTCCGCATTCGGCCGGGGATAACTCTGCTTGTCCGTGTTTGGGTGCAATTCTTGCGGCGATGCTGGCATCCCGGAGGGAGCTGACTTTTCCAGGGTCGAAGCATCAGGGACGTCGCTGACGCCTCCAGAACACTGCACTCCATCTTTAATCCTAGAGGCGAAGCCCGCATTGCCCGATTCGTAGATATAGGAGCAGCGAGGCGCGGCGCAGCCGCCCATCTCCTCCCCGGGGAGCTTTATGACCAGCTCCCTCCTGCCGTTCCAGTTCTGCACCATGGACGCCGGTATGGACGCCCCAAAGTCAAAGCCGTCCATCTGCAGGACCTGTATGTATCCCTCCGGGTTGAATATCGTCACGAACACGGCCTCCCGCTGGACGGGCCTCTGGAACGTGTACGCGCCCTGGTCGCTGAACGCCCCCTTGAACGAGTACACCGTCGTGTCCACGTCCTGCTTCCGGTCCTGCTCCTCCACCACCTCGGCTATGTCCAGCTCGCCGCACCCCCCCGCCGCGCCCATTCCCCTGCAGTTGCACACCTGCGGGTGGTAGTTGGCCGTGCGCACAACGCTGGCGTGCAGGAACCACAGCGCGGGCGCGTTGGCGCCCTCGCCCTCCGGGAACCTCGCCCGCACGGCGAACAGCTTGGCCCCGCCGGCCGGCCCCGCCCACCCGTGGTGCCCCTGCCCGCGGTAGAACCCGCACTCGTCGCCGCCGCACTTGGCCGCCTGCATCACGTTCACCTGCACGCCGTCGTCCAGGATCCCGTCAAAGGCCTCGGGCGTGCGGCGCGCGCACTTGCCGTCGCGGCTGACGTACGACTGGTTGTAGCCGTTGCACAGGAAGTCGTCGCCGTTGATGATGAGCTTCCAGTCGCCGCTCCCGCTCCAGCAGGACCCCTCGTCCACCGTGGTGCCGTCGAGGGCCCGCCCGTAGTCGGCCAGGAAAACCATGTTATCCATGCCGCCAGAGCGGTCGTAGAACGAAACCCTGTCCCACACGCCCCCGGCCCCGGGGTAGTACACGCCGATGTTGTACACCTCCATGGGCCCCCGCAGCTTGAGGGTCTGCTCCTCGTCGAAGGGCGCCAGGCAGCCCCCCACGGCCCGCGGGCGCTTCAAGCACGCCGCCTGGCCGGAGCACGGCATGCCGTAGACCTCGTCGTAGCTGCCCACGCCGCCCACGTTCACGATCGTCTTGCTTCCTACTACCGTCGCGCCCCCGCTGCTCTCCATCCAGGCCAGCAGGACGACCAGCACCAGGCCAGCGGCAACTCCTGCAAACGGCTGCACGCGCTTGAGACCCCGGAATCTATTTCCTTGCGCGCAGCCAAAACGGAGTTTCACGCCGATGCAACCGCCCAACTACGTGATCTGAACCTCGCTCACGACAACCGCTGGCTCCCATGAAGGTACCGGCATGCCGCGCGGGCTGGGCCGGTGGCCGCGGACAATGGTGTCACTTTGCGCAATGCCCATCGCGGGACGCCACATAGCCAGCCCGTATTTCGACGGCCACCTACCGTTAGGGACCGCCATTGTTCCACCCGTGCGTGCCCGCTTCCTTGTTGGAAGGCAGGCACCCTCGGGGCCCCCTCCTCGCCCTCACCCAGGGTGAGGGACAACGAGCGGGACGGCGGGGGCCTCATCTCATCCCCCCCATGGAGTTTGCAGGAGATTGAACGTTTTACCTTTGTCAACATTTCGCTGGGCGCATGTCTGACACGTCCTGGGGCGGACTTGGCACTTGGCCCATCATCGGTTTTGTCCCGTTTTCCCTCAGTTCCGGGTGTTTCGGCTTTTGCGGACCTGATGGGCATGTGGGATGGCAATGTAACATGGAACATGGTGCTTTTTGGACGCACCGCAGGCTCTCAAATCGTTGTTGCTGACACTCCAATTGCTGTCCACAGGTGACACTGTTCGCCGCACTTTTTACACCATCAGCAACGGTGATGCAGACATTTGGAATGTGCCCTGGACAGTGTCGGCGATGGTGTCGCCGTCAGTGTTCCCAATGTCGTACATAGTGCTGGAGAAGGTGTCCCAAGCGTCAGGGGTAGTGCTGTCGACACCAGCTTAAGCTTCAAGTGGTGACTCCATGCTCGTAGAGCACGCCCTTCTTTTCTGATTGTGGGTCTTGCACCAGTAGATTTGTGGCTTCTCCATCAGTTGGGCATGCAATAGGTGTGTTTACATGGTTCACAACAGTAGGCATGTTTGCATGGTTACATGGCTTACAACAATCAACGTGGGCTGTCAGGGTTGACACTATGCCAAGTTGGACATGCTTAACATCAAATTCAGGCCTGGTATGTACGTGGCAAAAGCAAATCGTACTTACGTTGCAAACGCAAATCGTATTTACGTTTTGATGCATAAAATAGTTTCACATTTTTACTTGTAAAAACGCATTAAAAACTTAGATACAACGTAAAAATACAGCCCCATGTACCTAAGGACAGTACATACAGGCTTAGGGAGTCCGGGGAATGGCAGTCACAAGCGCTGGAATGGGCAGAAAACGAGCTTTTGTTCCATGTCGTCATTGCCCTTGCTGAGGGCGAGGTGGACATTGCGTTGCGTGTGCTGCAGATGGCAGAGGACTGATCATTGTCCACGACTTTCATCGATAACCTGGGTGTCCCAATGAGCCATAAAACGTAAAAATAGTCCCTTTCGCAAGTTTACGTTTTTACGTGTAAAACCGTCAGCGTGAAAACGCAAAACGCAAACATAAGAACGTAAACGTAGACACTAAGCCTGGTCAAAGTGTCGCAGAGAAATTGTTGAGGAGGGTTTATGACGCCAAAGTATTACGTAATTGCTGCAAATCTGTCACAACAATCAGCTGAGAAGAGGCAGAAACTGCCCCCAGGGGCACGTTTGAACATGTACGGCTACGTGTTCAAAACCTCCCTGAGGATTTCGATGTTCACGGACGCCACAAGACAGTCCCAATTGACAGCTTCTAGGGTTGTCCCCATTGCTTGTCATTGCTTCGAGGACCAAAGCAACTCCTTTTTTCACATCTCCATATTCGATGCAGCACTGGCTCGCTTCATTAATGAACTCACCTCTGCCCTACAACGCATAATCGTGCCTTTTTGTGTGCTGAAGTGTTGCGCCGCGTTATTAGGCAATGTTGCTGAGTCATGCTTACATCTTCATCAGGAGTGATGCTGGGTTGGGGTCGAGGAGTGGGGGCGTTGACAGGAATTGTTGTACAATGTCGGTAGGGGTGTGTGCAGCATGAATCCCAATTTCGGCGACATCAGCAGGGAGAAGTCCCTGATGCCGCGGTCATCGACGTCGAACACCCAAACTTTTAGGGAATAGAGACTGACACGGATGGGATTCCTGAGACGGTGACACATCGCTTAAGCTCGAACCAACATCGTTGAATAACGATGGGTGATCTGCCTGCCTGGCTGTCCAACCCGCCCATGATTGAGGGAAATCCCATGTCCTCACACAATGTGAATTCCTGAGGTATTTGGACCTGGGCCACGGTCCGCCCCCTCTACCGAACCCCAACCTTCCCTTAACCTCACTCACAGCTCTGCACGTCGTACAACACCTCCACACCGTTGGCATTGTAACGCTTGCCTTCCTCATGCACGCGGTCACCCTCGCTGTCAAAGAACCGTCCCCCAAATATGATCTGTGGTGCACCTGCAACAACCCGGCCTATGGCCAATGCGGGGTTCAAGTAGTCAATGCTGGACGCCGTGCCGCGCACGTCCCGAATCCGTGGCACCAGGTCGGCTGCCACTGTCTGGGGTTCCTCTGCAAGGGCGTTGAAAAATCGGCGTGCAACGGGGTTGCTGTCCTGCGGAATTTCAAACAGACAGCCGCTTCAGAGTGGCAGAAGCCTGGGCAAAGCCACTAAAACTACTCAACAATGACAATGGGAGTACAAATATCGGAACCTTAAACGATGCTGCATTAGTAAATAGTGCCTGGCTGGACAGCTGTGGCACCACACTGTGCCACTTTTTCCTGGACCACACCTGCATCCTGGAAAGCTCATGCATGCCCATAAACACCTGGTTGCTGCTGCTAGAAGCAAGGTCACGGGGCAGGGCGGCAAAAATGACTTGCAGTTTTCATCAGCAGTGGGAAGACAGTATATTGAGGGACACAGACAACAGTAATTGGTGGGACGCTTATCGATGTTCTTCAGTGGGAAATGGGAATCGATGCCTTGCAGTCGCTCACCAGTTGGCGATCTGCGCCTTGCAATTGTTGGTCAGTAGACTGTTGAGTTGATGACTGGCACACAGAACGATAGGAGGATGCACAAGGGAGAAATGGCTGATGGTGCAATGTGCGATGACATGGACTCTTGTGGGAACGTGTTTTTAAACACCACGTGCCACTGGTCGCTGCAAATGGTAACAGTGCAGTGCCTTGTGCACCATTCCCTTGTGTAGTATCCTCATGTACTGCAAGGGGTGCAACGTCCACACATCAAAACCGAAAATGTCTTTCTAAACGCGATGCACACTGGGAATAGAAAGGAAACAGAAACGAAAGTGCGACAACAGCCTGTTTATTGAGCTCCGGACAGACGCCCCACCTTGAGCAGCAGGTCCGTCAGCACCATCCCTGGTGACAGGTTGTGCACGCCCACTCCCTCCACGCCCTCCGTCGCTAGCTCCTCCGCCAGAGACTCCGTGAGCTGAGTTAACGCGCGCTTGGTGGCCTTGTGTGAGCAGGCGGACTTGGAGAACGACGCGCCCCACCTGACGAGCCCGTGAACCCGCATGCTTAGATTTCGGAGTTGACGTTGAGTAGCTACACATCCCCGCAATTCGATAACATCATCAGGCGACTAGTCCAAGCAACACAGGGCGAGCCTTTCACCAACCCGAGGAAGTCCAAAAACAACACAGCCTCTGCACAGTCCCTTTCCCTTCCGTCAATCCACCAACCTCGAGAACCCCATGTTGAAGATGTGGAACGGCCCTCCGGGCTGGTCCCTCATCAGCCTCAGGGCCTCCCGGCAGCCGAACAGGGAACCCAGCACGTTGGCGCCCACCACCGCCTCGATCTCCCCGGCCTCCAGGTCCGGCAGCAGCCGCCTGCCGGTCACCTTGCCCGCGTTGTTGATCCATCGGTCCACGGCGCCCAGTCGCTCCCGTGCGAAGGATGCCAGAGAGGCGACGTCAGTCGCAATCGAGACGTCGCACAGGGCGCCGTGCAGCTGGGCCTCCGGCGACAGACCGCGCCGGAGGGAGGTCAGGGCGGCCTCCAGGCGGGAGGCATCCCGGCCGCAGATCACCACGCGGTCGCCCAGCGCCAGGAACTCGCGCGCCATGCAGTAGCCCAGGCCCTTTGTGGCGCCTGCGGGGCGGCGGGCGCCGAATTGCAGCCCGGGAGTAAGATTTCTTTCAAAAAGTGGTCAGGGGGAGCTCAGCGCTTCCGTGTCCGGTTCTTTCCGCTGCCAATTCTTTCAAAGCGAGGAATAGGAGTGGCGAAAGGGCCTGATTGTTCCGGAGCCAGGCGATTGACCTGGATCGGAGTTGAGGGCAAGGTAGGGAAGGGATGACCTTTGCCCAGGGGAAGCAGGCTGCTTGTGTCCGGGCAAAGGAAGATCGGTTGGTCGAAGGGGCCTCAGAGAGACCCTCATCTACGCACCGGTGATGACGACACCCAGACTTCGGTTTGCGTCCCCTTCGCCTCCGGCCACGGCCTCAACCTGGGGAAGGGCAAAGCACAGCGGCAGTGCGCCAGTGCACAGAACGGCATCCGCCTCGCAGGAGCAACACCCGCCCTCCCCGTGCCTCAGGACACTTGTGCATCATCTTTCAACCAGTTGTACAGTGTCCGCTATCTTCTGCTCAACATGAGGGTGCCCAGTATATGACACTTTTCTCCATTTCCAGCAGCCAGCCTGCGAATGCTTCCCGGCGTTGGCACTCGTGAAATACGGACAGCCTGCTTGCGCACTGCCCCTCCTGTCCCAGTCGCCCAAACACAGCCCAGAGTGCACAAAGGAGCTTTACCACCAGAGCCGCTTCCCAAAACATTCAACGCCCTTCCCAGCAGCGCCCGCGTCTGACCTCGGCTTGCAACTCCCTATCGACAGATTCAGACAGATTTCGACAGATTTGGGTTTCTCAGAAAGAATGCCGTTCCTGCAGTTCAGAAACAGCCCACCTTGCCATTCTCGTGCCGCTCTGTGCAAGTCGATGGACGCCGTCGCCTGGCATGCTGCTGATTGACGCGGGAGCTGCCGGCTAGCCCCCTGTGAGGACGAGCCCTGGTTCCAGCCCAAGGGCGGGTCGCCGGGCAGCTGACCGACGCGACGAGATCGAAGGCCGTCTGGCGTGGGCCCCGCATGACGGCGTCGCGCGATCTTGGATGGGCCGGCCCCCTGCCATACTTTCAAGACCCTGTACTTTTGCTGTCTTGCCAGGTAGGGCAGATCGCAGGCGTGCTCTTCTCCATACCAGTGCTGTTTCGAGAGGGAATTTTCGTTGAAGGGCATTGTTGCTGAGGGGATTGTAGTTGTATTGTTTGCTGAAGGAATCAGAAACATGCCACAATGTGGCCACCTCCCTTCCTGGGCAAGGAAAGCAGGTTCGCTCCTTTCTGAGAGATGACGAAGAGTTTATTGTCCGGGGAGATCACAGCGTGGATCACAAGTCGCGAGCTACATTGCCGAGATAGCAGTGTGCTCTTTTCGCGACAAAGGCGATGTACTAAACGGCGTTGATTGGTTTTGCTTACAAGTGATGGGGGTCGGGTGGGGTGGGTTTGGGGGGCGCATACAAACACACACACACACACACACACACACACACACACACACACGCACACACACAAGGATCCTTCTAAACGTTTGTCTACGCCCAACCACACTGAAAACCAAACTTGCGCCTCAAGCTTTTCTGCAGTACCGTATTGTACAGCGTGGAACCTGCTGCCAGGTACACATCTTTATGGACTTGATATCTATATTTGTGGCCATGCCTGGTACGGGCAGTACGAGTAGGAGTATTCTTCAGCACCTGGCATACTATCTTGAACACAACAGGCTGTGCCGGGAGTAGGGCCTGGTTTCGGCCCTAGTGACCTTTGAGCCCCGTGGCCTGTAGCCCAGTCACGGGCCCCGAAACTACTTTCACATCACAGCCCCGCTCCCTTCCAACTCAGGGATTTCCAGAAACAATACAGATTGCAATTCAGAACTTCGAGTTACACATTCTCAAAGAATGCTAAAAGGCTGCAGTGACATGTGACAGCGACACGTCACTTGGGCACGGTCCTTAAGCGAGGAGGCACAGAAGCGGAAGAGTAACGAAATAATAGCCACAGCCGAACATGTGGCGCCAACAGGCATATTTAGGCACCGAAAGCTGGTGGAAGGAAAATCTCTATGAGATTAGATCCATGTGCTGCAGTGATATGTGACAGCGATACTCGACTTGGGCGCGGTCTTTGAGCGAGGAGGCGTAGAAGCGGAAGAGTAACGAAATAATAGCCACAGCCGAACATGTGTCGCCAACAGGCATATTTAGGCACCGAAAGCTGGTGGAAGGGAAATCTCCATGAGAGACTAGATCCATGTGCATAACGCGGCAAAGAAAAGGCGATTAAAATCCAGGCGCGCTGAAGCATCGGAACGCAGAAGACCATTTAAACTGTTTAGAAAGGGTTTGACAATGGACAGGATGTTGAAATCGGGCAGGTGCATTATGTGAGTTTTCTTCCTTTTGCTTCAATGTCCCATAGTATTCCTGCCTGCAAAGGCTAGCAGGGCTCCTAGTTCGAACAATATGTCTCGAAGAAGCATTGACAAGCGCCACACTTCCGACAATGTTGGCCACAAAACTTCCGGACTGACAATAGTTCAAACACGACATTCTCACTGCGAGTTTACAATTGATGTGCATGCATCTAATCTGGGCATACAGGTGCGGCTGATGGACCGTACCCTGCGAGGCCAATAGCCGTACTTTTCGTACGGCAGATGCTACCTTTTGGTGTTATCCATTGAAACAACACAACAGCTTATAGCATTGTGTCCCAACAATATATATGTGGAGCCAACGAGGCCAAGAGCAACGCAGCTCGGAAAAAGGCACAACTCTTGCATTAGGACACAGTTTTCGACGCGCATCCTCAATCTGACAGCGTCCATACGATTTGGACGCAAGACATATCTGGTCAACCTGCCTTCATTACGTCACTTGACGCCTATCGCAGAGATGCTGTGAGCCCTTCTCCGCCACAGCGAGCTGAATGTGGGTACTGGGCAACAGTGTGGCACTGGTACCACGGTGCTAGAATAGCAAATAACAGCAGCGTTTCAACAAACCAGGCATGTTGCTCCCCTGCTTTCAACATCACCATTTGGGTCACCATCAACTGCCTACGAAGCTAATCTGCTATGTGTGATCTATTTCCACAATTAAACGGCGGCCAGTGCAGACAATCGGGCCTAATTCTTTCTAGATGAGCCTCAGCGAGGCTGTCTCAACTGGAATCGCTCTGCACCACGTCCGACAACTCAAATGCAAGCCTCCAGATGTCCTCCAGAAATTTCCCCGCGCGGGTGCTGTCGCCTGACCGTAGGTTTTCCACTGGGAGCCTCAGCTGCAAGTCAAGGTACCCGTTGGATTCAGTGAACTTCCCACGAGCGGGTCGCGACTGTGTCTTGTACTCTGTGAGCTCAACTTGCACTTGTGAAAGAACACCTTCCGCCTCACGGTTCTCGAAAACCATTCGCTTCTCTTTCTTCAGCAGGAGTGCCTCTCCTGCCTTCATCAATTTGTCATCCACGCAGGGCATGCCCTCCTCAACTCCCATACCCCGTCTGCCATCCCCTTCCCGTGACAGAGCCCGGTGCAGGCCACTGGCTGCTGCCTGCGGAGTACTGTCGTCTGGCGGGAAGTGCGTGCGCAGGATGAACCTGATGTCGCACTCAATACCGTTTGTGCTGGCACTGGCGCGTGGCTGGCTCTGGAACGCCCGTTTCATATCCACCACTGACCATCTGAAGTCTGGATCCCGCACGTGCAGAAGCTGCAGTTGGTCATTGTAGTACACCATATTTTCATTGCCATCCCTCGTTACCAGCAGGCCATATTTTACCTCCGCCTGGCCGAGGTCAACCAAGTTATTTCTGCGCATCCATGCAACCAAATTGTCGACTGCTTTCTGGTCGACAGTAGAAAAGAAAGAAAAGGAGGCTGAGCCTCTCCCATCGCTGTACTTTGATTCCCGCGTTTCCACGTGTCGGCGTGTGCTTGGCCGGCGCACGTATGCAGCCTCCAGCCAGGCAGGGTCTACAGTCCTCTTTTTCTTTTCCAGGGCTGACAAAAGTGCACTCACTGTTATGTTCTTCTCCCCGCTGAACTCCTTGGGCGGGTTCCTGATGTATGACTTGCCGAATTTTATCCTCATGTCGCATTCGCCATGCATTTGTGGGGAGTAGTACCGGCTCATCCTACCCAACTGTGTCCTGAAATGCTCCAGAAACGTTGTGAAGTTGGGGTCCAGGCTGCCAGGCGGCAGGATGGTGTCCCTGGCTCTGCAGATGCGCACCACGAACTTGGAAGCATTGTCATGGTGCGGATGGCAAGGCCTGTAGTAGTCCTCCAGCACAATCCTGTCATCCTGCCCGTCGGCCCCTTCCATGAGGTAGCAGTATGCCCCATCAACAGCACTCACTGCTCGCGAATAGAGCGCTGTATTCTTCTCTTCGTTTTTATACTGATCAGACAACTGCTTCACAATTCTCTCGACAGCCCACAGGGCTGCCGCAGTGCCCAACGCCCTGATGAGCAGGCCTGGCGCCCTTGCCCCTGGCTTGGGGAACACTTCGACGTCCATGACTCCGCTGCGCTTCCTAAGGAACCTCCCAAAGTCCAACTCTCGTCCCAGAATGGTGTAAGCAGCCTTGGAGTCGATGAAGAACAGTTTCTCCACCATCTCAGCTTTCAACAGCACGGAGGCGCTGGCATGCAGTGACAGGCGGTGGAAGGCCCTGTCTATCTCCTCAAGAAGCAGGTCGGCTGCTCTGTTACCCTTGCTGTCCTTTCCCTTCATCAAATCAGCAAAGGTAGGCTCTCCCTCATCAAACAAAATACCAAGAAACTGTGAATTGATTGGGCTGTGAATGTGGGCATGGCCATGTCGGAAGAACTCCAATAGCAGGTCTCCAAGCTGATTTTCTTTCTGCCCAATGCATGCTCTCCTTATGGCGGATTCCCACTCCACCAACTTGGTAAACAGGTCGACCTTGTTGTCATAGGGTGCCCTCTCATACAGTTCCACAACCTCTGAAGTGTCAACTGCGTGGATGTAACCTTTCTCGAGACACAAGTTGAGGACCATGAATGGGACAGTGTACTGATCCACAAGATTGCGGCTAGGGTCTGTGAGATCTGTGCTCCTCATCCATCCCACCAACAGTCGAAGGAGTGGCAGCAGGTGGGGTTGTGCCTTAATGTACATGACCAGCGCACTCCATTTCTTCAGATCTGAAATACGAGTGGTGAACTCGCACCACGTGCGCGATGCGGCACTGCCGGGCATGCTGCCCTTGCGGAACTTGCACAACAGCATCTCATACTTGGGTTCGCATGCTGGCCTCTCGGACCTCTCCAACATATTGTGCATGAGCTCCTTTGCACCTTCTATGATCCTCTTCTGTAGCTGCAACTTTGTCTCTACCTGTGCTCTGTCACCTTCATGTTTTGGCATGATCGCAAATCCCAAAACCCCTTCCTCTTCAAATAGCATCGCTGCGGAGAGTCCAGTCATGAAAGTGCGACCAAGGGGCCTCAGACATTTTCTAATGGACCTCCAAATGGTGTGGCGTTCTTTCCAGCTCCTGACCAAACCGCGAGTGCACCTTTTGAATTCATGAAGGGTACTTTTGCCAACAATGGTCGCAATGGACTGCATCGACACCTGAGGATTGACTTTCATATTGTTAACATAAATCTTTGCCAGCAGGTCGCCCACGATCCAGGGAAAACTGAGGAACCTCTTTGGGGCCAGCCTTTCATCTTTTGCCCTACGTTCTCCCCTGTGCCAAGGATTCTCCTCCGGATCGTATGTCTCCACACACAGGCCTGGATCACTCCCGTAGGTAACAAAGTACCAGGCGCTTGCTTTTTGCAGTCTTTTCTCCTCGTCAGTGCCAACGTTCTCCTCGAATCTATTCCTGAAATTCTTAATGAGTTTCTGCCTGATCAATTTGATCGTCTCCCTGACGTCTTCCACTTCCTTGTCATGGACCTTCTCATGCAGCTTTTCGATGTACCCACTCATGAACTCCCCTTCAGTCCGTACACCATACATTTTCATTGCCCGGTGAAGCGAGTTGTTGTATTCCTTACGAAGAGTTCTGGCATCTTCCTCAAATTCCTCAAAGCCCTTCTTGTAAAAGCCTTCATGCAGCTCAACGCCTGCACAACGCGCAATGTGAAGTCAGAAGCTATTTCAGAAACGGCTTGGGCTCCCTAGCCTGGCCCAGCATGTCCAACATGCTGTCACTGGAAGACAACAGATATGCACACCTGTCACCAGCAGTCAGCAGTCACTGATACTGTGCTGGCTTTTGCAGGTCAGGGATGGGGTACTGAACAAGGCAATGACTGCCTTGATGAATGGCTGCCCTGAATGAATGTCCCCTAACCAGCCTCTAGCAGACAGCCTGTGAGTTGGGTAGAAGCCTGATGCAAAATCAAAGCTGGTGGCAGCTTACAAGCGTGGCGCTTTAGATTGTTTGAGCACAGAAGACAAACTGCAGTCAGTGCCATTGCTAGGACCTTCCCGTGCAGAGCAATACCCACGGGAGTGGTGTCCAATGGCCGCGGAACTACAGCATCAATGCCACAAAATAAAATCGTCCAACTTCCAGTGTGTGGAACATGCAATGGCAATGTATTCTCAGTGCATCTGAACACTGGCTACCTTAGGAATGGAACAGTCATGCTGGGCTTCCAATCCCTTCCAAGCTACTGAATCCAGTATTGCTGGCACTAACCAACTATAGGTAAATGGCATACTACCAGAGCAGTGGTATGAAAACAACTGACAGCCAACAGCACAAGTCTGCCGCGGACTCCAATATCCCTTGCCTGAATCACTCCCCCACCAGCTGCCCGGCCGGGTGATGTTCATGTACTTGTTGCACTCCCTGAACATCTTGCCCAGGACTTTGTCAGATGGGTAGCTGGGCTTGCGCGTCTTCATCATGAAGTCTGGGTATCGCTTGACTTTTTCCTGAATGTCCCGATCCACTGTCTGCCAGTCACCTGACTTGGGCGCATCCACCGCCTTGGAGTGCTGCACCACAAGGTTGGGAAAGTAAACATAGAGGATGAAATGCATTTGTACTCAGTAGCCAATATTGGCCAATGCGTGAAAGTGCAGCAGTTCGCCTTATTCTTGGAATTATCAAGGACGTACCTGCACTGCAAGAGTCAGACAGTCCTCACACTCTATGCCGTTGAGGTCTGCAAGGGCCAAGTGCATTGTATCGATGATCCCCAGTGTATCATGCTCGATGTACTGCCCTATGTGCTCAATGACGTCCTCAATTTTGATCTCCCGCTGCAGTTCAGTCTTGGGGGTGGCTGTGTAGTCCATGGGCTTTTTGTTGGGCTCCGTGGGTATGAGGCTGTCATCCCAGATTACTGCAGCCACAGAGCATACCAGTGCATGACAGATGTTGGGCTCTGCAGAACAGATCCACAGTGGGACCACAGCCCATCGCGGACCGTTGAAGCGTTAGCTGCCAGCGCCAGGCAGCACTTAGTTCCATCTGATCTCATGGCAGAAGGCCCATGGAAACCCTGAGTAGGAAAAGAGAATCCAGTTCTGCCCAGATATCATTCACAATGGAGATCTGCTGGCACAGCATGGAGCCATGAGGCTGTCAGCATGGACCCTCTACGCAATACGATCGACAGCAACAGAACTTGTGGTACGCAATCCAGTGGCTGTTGATGTTCAAATTCCGACATGCTGACCTGCGATATGCACTACAGGCTCCATTGCAGTGTGAATAAGGGGCACAAAGTATGCGCATATGCTCCAGTGCACTGGGCCAATCCAGCAGAGCTCACCGTGGTACAGGTCACCATCCAGGTCAGAGCCCGACAATTCGTTGGGGTGAGGTCGCTCGCCCTTGCAGGGGAACACAACACAGTCATACAGGTGGTGCAGTTGGGGCCTGTCAACTGCCTCAAACCTCCTCACATCGCCTGGGTGAAGGCATGGGTTCTTTGCAATCACAACAGTGCCTTTTCGAATTGTAGACTTAGCTTGGTTGCTCAGATTCATGGATGCTTCGTCTGAGAAGTCAGTGGAGTACTGGACAAAAACCTGCAGCACATGCAGCAACCGTATTGGTTTATCATTCATGCAAAGCACCTCTGCTATGCTCGTGTATGCACTTTTTCAGTTGCTCTTCTAACTGTGCATGATCAGCTCTACTTGTGATTCTAACCCACACCTGGTGATGGCCACCTGGTTCAAGTGCCACAGCCATCCTTGCCTGCAGCACGGCTTGTGAGAAAGCGGCCAGAATTGCCACTCTTGGGATCAGTGCCCATTGCTGTGTGTCAGGGGCTTGCACACCTTGCCATTTCGTCACTGTTCCCTCTGCTGGAATCCTACAGGCCTGATATATGCTTACTGCACTGCAGTGATGGGTTGAAAAACTCTCGCAGCGATCAGTCAATAGAAGTCATGATTCGTATGTTGTGTTTGCGCACAGTTTGCAACCATTGTGGCAGCATCCTGGAATGCCATAACGTGCTTTTACAGCTGAGAAACAAATATGAGGTCTAGAATCGTGTAAATTTGCCTCTCTGACTGACACATATATTTAGTACGCACTGTCTGGCATCCCAGATGCACAAAATGAAATGTCTCCAAATTCGCAAGCTTCGCACAGTGCTTTCCTGGCTTCATCAGTATGACCAGCACCTTGGCACTAGACACCTGCTGGAATCATGAGCTCTAGTATTGAACTGTGCAAGACATCACACATTGCTTTTCGAATGCGACATTACAGAACTTTTGCACACTCGCATTTGTTAAGCATGTCAGTGCACTTCCCTGCCATTCTTGTCGCGTCGTGCCAATAGGCAGTGTGCAGGGCTATATTCTGGGCACATTAAAGGTGTGTTGATTGGAGGATTCTGCTGCCGTCATAGTCTGCAAGGTGCAAGGGTACTGACTGTTTTGTTATTTCGTCAAAAGTGGAACAAGCGCCAGTTGTATGTGTGCCTCGAATCACACGTACAGATGTGGGCAATATTAACACAAGTGCGTACATCTGCCAACACACAAACAAGACAGAGTTTTCACTATTCCGGAGGTATCAGGCATCGTATATATAGTGCTGCAGCAAACTACTTCATTTCCTACAGTGGCCCAATACACAACTATAACAAACTTATGGCAGCTGTATTTTCAGATTTTCTCTGGCACAACCAAGAAATACGTTGCTTGAACTGCATGAACCTCTCTGTCGTAAATCGGTGATTGAGGGTGGCGCAGGTCTGCAATGACTATGCATATCAAAAGGGGAATGATGTCCGTGCATTTGTTGGCCATGGTCGGCACTGCTCACATTCAAAATGCGATTTCATTCCTGCTCACAACCAAACAGCCTTGCATGCTGCTGATGTGCAATTGTGGTTCTATTTTAACCCATCTTAACTCACAGCTAACAAACCAGCAGCTGCCTCAACAAGGATACCCTCTTGAGGCTTGCCAGATCAGTTTTCAACACACCACAGCAGCCATCTGAACAAGAAGCCTCCAGGTCCATGCACTATCCACCATTTGCCATGGGGAACAGTGGGAACCAAGCACTTTTCTCCATACCTGTCCATACTCAAGTGTTCTTGTGTCATCAGCTATGCCAATCAGCACCCTGGCCTTGGAATCATCAATGGGCACTTTTGATTTCTCAAGCAGGTCTTTCATCTGGCACCTGGACCACAACAGTACGCACCAGCTGAACTTCTTAACCAGCAGCACAAGCTCCCACCGCAACAAGTAGAAAGGCCATTTACACACTCACCAAGCTCTCCAAGCTCTTGAGTTTTGTCTGCCATGGCAGATGCAAAGAGCTAGTCAGTTTGTCCCTTAAATTTACCTCCCTTGGGCTGGTTGTGAAGCAAGGAACCTGGCCATACTTGACAAAGTGTGGTCCATGCAGTGTGCATGGATTGAGGAGAGCACGGAGAGCCCTGGGCACTGAATGGGCTGTTGTCTTTGGACACAGACAAATTGTAGAGGCAACTACTCACAGTGTGTACCTTTCCTTTACAATATTGGAGAAGAATGGGTATATCTTCAAGGTATTTAATGAGTCCAACCCAACTAGAACGTGTGGTTGTGGACGGAGATAGCTGCAGGTGTATAGACACAACAAATTGGGTGAATTCCCCATTTGACTGTACGCAGCTAGACGTGTGTTGATGAGAAACCCCAAACAAACACTAGCACACTGTGCCACTCAAAAAAAAACTTCGACAGTCTCATATTTCTGCATTTTGGGCTGCCACCGACAACATCTATGGTTAGTGACTGCAACGCCCCTTATGGATGGGTAAATGCCTGTCAAACAATGGGATAATGTCAAAATAGGACTGTAGTCGTTAGATAATATTACCTGTAAATTTCTGACATCCTTGTCTGTCATCAAATTGCACAGTTGCAATGGTTTCAAGCAATGTGTTTCCATCCCATGTGCTTCATTAGACTGTGCTGTTACCCAATGGACACTTGATATCTCTTTCAGAACACCTGCAACTGCTGGTGCAGAAATTCCTGTCCAGATCTTCCGGGCCATGCACACAGCGCACTTTACAACAACCGGGCCATGAAATCAAAGGCAAGAATGAATATATTTTTCTCATGCCTGCCACCCAGCCCACAGTGAGTGTGTGTGAACACTCCCAATCCAATGTGAAAGAGTAACTTTGGGGAAACTACGCTGACAGGCCATTCATCCAAAGATTTGCCAGCCAACTGAGGCAGTACCCAAGAAAATGCTCTTACCTGTACAATGCCATCAGCAGAGACCTCAAGTATGGTTCAGATGTGATGTGGACATCAGCTTCCTCCAGCCTTCTGGAGTCTACAGACGAGATGCTTGTCAACTTCTGACGGGCTAGTTTCTCGTCGATGAACATCTCTGACATGTGTGCCAGATGTGTTTTTAGAAGGTGGAGGAAGACGCTGTCTGAGATGCCCATGTTGCTCAGGAGCATGATGATCTGTGGGATATCAAGCAACACTTCATGGGTGGCACACAAGATTCAATTTTCACCCTTGTTTTCATGGGAATAGGCCAGCAGATTAATCGATTGGAGATGGTAGGCTATGGGGTGCTATCTTATTAACATTTCAAACGCAACAGACATTTGTCAGCTTGGGTTCAAGATGGTTCGTAGAGCTTTGGACAGTTTGAGAAATGCAGCACCCTGCAGATTACAATCAGCAGCAAGCAGCAATAAGCAGCAACAAGCATGCGGTTGTCACTGACCAAGATCAGCGTCACCATGCTCCTATCACCTGTTGATTCAGTGACAGTCTGATCGGCCTGGAAGTGTCCAAGACTTCAATATCTGTATGAATTGAAGGGTACTTATGCATACTTTTCCGAAGAACAAGTTCCTTCCCCGGATGATCCAAGTGCAGATTCTTGTCCACCACCAACACTCCCTTGGATCCCCCAAACCGGACTTGGTAGGCTGATGGCGTAAAACCCTTCTTCAGGGTACTAGAAATCTGCACAACAGGCCAATGGCCTAGTCAAGATACTAAATGTTTTGTGTGCAGACTGGCGGGCGCATTAACAATGTATCCTGAAAATGAGTGCAATGGCCACGCTGAACAATTGCACCACAACCTTTCCCCCTCTTTGAAGCGTGTTCTTGAAAGTGGCTGTGTACGACAACCGCAGGGGCATTCTCAATCCTCAACAGAATGAGGCAAGTGCCAGAGCCAATAGTGGTGCATGCCATGGGCTGTGGAAACCATTCAATACATGCTGCCACAGGTACAGTCAAGGAATACAGGCCTCACTGCAACTGTCGCTGCCAGGTTTTGCGATTCAAAACATGCAGGCAACAACCCCTCGGCTACCAGATTGGTGCACACCATAGCCCATAATCTTTGGTTCGGGGGGACAACATTGGAGTCTTCGAGGTGAAGATATTGAAACTGGCGCATACATTTGGACACTTGTTGCAGAGGACAACATACAAATTTTGTGACACTGACACTCAGCAAGGTACTTGACTGCAAACAAAGATATTGGGGTCGGTGCTGCGACCTTTCCAGGTCAAGATCACCAAACTGTTCTTACTCAGGTTATGTAGCAAGGCGTGCAGTACTTGGGCATCAGCATCAGCTGAGTATCTCACTGCAAGCATGCACAATGAGGATCCTGGGTGGCTGGGATTGGGTGATGGCGTGCAGTCAATGAGCTGCACTCAGGAAATCGCCGCACCTGCCCTGGGCACCGGGTAACCGGGCAGTCCAGTGTACCACATAGGCAAGCAATCAGGCAGCAATTCTTGCAAACAGAGATTAGTAGAAGTCCATGCAAGCGACCTTGGCATTAGGATGCGAGCTGTATACCTCCAGGACACACCTTGTCTGCAAGAGCCATTGTCAGCCTGCCAATACCATCAGTGAAGTTGTATTCTTTGTGTCGCACGTCCTCCTCAACAACAAACAGTTCCTTTGGAACTGACACTGTCTTCTTTGATGTGGAGAAGCCAAGCCCTAAGCGAGAGGTGTAGGAAGCCACATTTCTAATATCTGCAATAAACACATGAACAACACTGAAATGAGGCATCCACTGGCAATGGCACTGAAACACTGCAGGGTGCAGGGAGCTCTGTGCTGGTCAGGGAATCATGCAGAAAGGCACTGGATACTTTGGACAGCTGCTAAATAGTTGTGATGCAGCCATGTGCAACAGATCCACCTTGACCAAGCTGCAGGTTCACAACCTAGAGAATTATGCGGGCAAGAAATGTCCTGCTACGCAGCTTTGAAGGGACCAAGATGGGATGATTAAGACAGCAAATCCAGCCACTGCACAAAAGTCTGGACACAGGTCACTCTCTGCACTCCTGAGCCCTTGGTCATGTTGGGCAAGCCTTCCCACTGGCTGGAAGAACTTTGCTCCCAGACCATTAATGACCAGAACAACATCAGGACAGGAATTCCCAGGAGAACTCTCACCCTGCAAGTCTCCGATCCAGGTGCGGATATAGTCTGCAGTTGTTTCACTCTCCTCCAAAAACCAGCAGGCATGCTCACGTGTCTGGCTGTTTGAGCCAGCCAGGTACATGTATTTTGTTGTGTTACCAATACTGAACCCAGCTTTCATCACTTTTGCCACTCTTGCAATCAGGGCGGAGATCTCCCCCTTGATGGTTGAGAGCTTGTCAAGATTGTCATCACGAATGCTGATGCGGATGAACTTGTCAGACTTGAACTTCCGTAGGACACGATTTGTCTGACAAAACATGAATTCGGCAAATGTCAGATGTCCGGCCAGTTGCACACATCAAATAGGTGGTATCAAAACACTGGACGGTAGGTGTGCAGCATGGCATTGCTATGTTCTGCCAAACAGGCAAAACAGCATACTGTCAACAGTTCCACCCCAACTCTGACCAAGGCCCTGCTGTGGTATCCACTGTTCGCAAGCTTAATGCACTGCACATCTGCCTTGCAAAAGACAGCAACAGTTTGGGCAAAGCATGCAGAACTCTGAAAGTCAGCTTTGGTAGGTCACGAAATCCTGCTGCAAAGAAAGAACTCAGGGCCTCTGTGGTGTTGACACTCACAAACCGCCCTGCGCCCACCACAATGCCACAGACCACATCCACACTTCACCTACCTGCATGATGTCGGGCTCAAAGAATACCATCCTTGTGGGGGTCAAAATCATCCGCCTGACTTTGGCATGACTATCACCAATATGGCCATCAAGAACTGTGCTCTTCAGGAACGCTTTTTTGGCTGCCCTGAAATGGTAGGATGGCTCACCAAACAATGATCTCCCCAGGTCGTGCGCCATTCTGTAGAGAGATTCAGATGCAACGGCACTGTGAACCGCATCAAGCTCCTCAAAGAATGACTTCCTATACCTGTCCACAACAAACCCTGGCGAGCTGCAGACACAGCGCCATGCGTAGTTGACCTCTGCATCGTTGGCGTGTCTGGACCACTCTGGCAGGCCGCTCTCCTGAGTCTGTAACTTCACCTTAGAGAGTACTTCCGTCACATGTGCGAAGTATACTACTTTTCCCACAGCATGGAACATCCTCAGGCACTTGGTAATGTTTGGCGTAAAGACTGACTCCATTGCCTCAGGGTTCGCAAGCTCGAGTCTGTATACCAGGCATGCTGCAAAAGTGTCGGCGTCCACAAGATTGTGGTTGGCGTCTTCGATCTTGACCAGCCGATTCTTGGTCTCAGCATTGGTGCCTTCGGCCTCCAAACGCTGATACAGCCGGGGGGGGTGGCGCAAGGTAATGTGCAGCACCACACATGCAAGATCTGTGGATGCATGCACAACAAGGAAGTCCTGCACCTCCCAAAAGTTGAATTCCAGCAGGTACATTTCATCCACAGCGATGGTTATTTCCCTCTCTGAATAGTCAAGGGACAATCGAAGTGTTTTCCCAACATCGGTACGACCAATGAACTCGTGGTGATCAAACCATGAGCCCAGCGTGAGCTTTGCCACCTCTAGCCGCAGTGCATGTGCTGTAAGGTGTGGATTCTTCCTGACCTGAAGCCACATATCATCGAACTCTGCTGAAAAGAAGCTCTGCAGCAGCACTCTCTCAAAGAGCTTCCGGTCATCTGCATAGGATGCATTGATGGGCGGATTCACCACAAATTCGTAGTGCTCTGTAACACAGAGAATGTCCCTCACCGGCAACGTCACTCTCTGCCAATCCTTGACGTCACAGATCCCATCCAACCTGTGCCACATGACCTCCTCCGGGTGGGACTGGGCCTTTGTGAAGACTGCAGTTACTGGGACTGACTGCTCATCAAAGTCCAACCCATCGTCACCAAACGCATATTCTTCTTCACTATCGGGTGCATCACCACCAGTGTACAACTTTGCCCAGTCCTCATCCCAAATGCCATCGACACCATCATCATCTGCAGCCCATTGCGGAAATTCGTCTGTTTCACCATCTTGTGGTAGTTCCTCAGGAGGCACCTCTCCCCGGGGACCAGTTGAGGGGTCCACCTCCAGCTCCCTACGTTCACACGCCTCAGGCAATCTCCCAACGATGTCCCGTGCCGAAGGATTGTCCATCTCATTTTTTAGTGACAGCATCATGAATTTCTCCACCTGCATTACGGACTTCACTTGGCTGACCTGCTCTTCGGAGCTGCAGATGAGGACAAATCTCCCTCCCTCTGCTCGGGCCCGGCCCCTACTCTGGATCAAGGACCGAAGGAAGACATCTGTGTCGAAACGCACCACCAAGCTGCACTTGGGCACGTCGATACCTTCCTCAAGCACATTTGTGGCAATAAGCAGGCGCGTAGTCCCCCTCCGGAAGCTGTTTAACACCTGCTCCTGCTGTCCTTCCCACAACATACCATCCCCAACTGATCCATGGCCGACAAAAATCTGGCATCAAGAAATGCAGGTTGTCATAGTCAGGATTTGCAGATGAAAGCACGATGCAGGGTAATCTGTCACTTGACATGTACAGCATCGGCAGAATGCAAACAGTCCAAGCCAGAGAAAGTTAATGGGCAAGAGAAATGTCAGCAGCCTGTGCCCAGCAGTTTACTTAGAACATGGCATTCTCTCCACTTGCCCAGATTGATCATGCTGGTGCAGTGTTGCATGTGCATTGCTGTATGCTCAAGCAAATACAGATAATGGAGATCTGGTGAACAGAATTTTCCTCATACTTATGACACAAAATGGATCAAAGAGCCGCAGTATGGGGATGCGAAGGTAAAACAAATGGTCACGTACCGAGAGCATCTGCTCTCACTGGCCCATTAAGCTCCAAAATCATTCAACAGTGGCTGCATCACAAAATCTGGACTATACACTACACAATGCCAGCAGCTGAGGGGTAGTGGGCACATCAAATGCCAGCAATTGGGTACTGTTCAATACGTGGCATTGAAGTCAATGCAAGACATCCAAGTATTGATGTCCTGCAATTGTGCGCCTACAGCAGAAACGAATGCTAATGACATACATGGACCAATCCATCTCGATGCCACATCGCATGTGGCTAGACAGCAGGAGCACCACGTGACCAAGACAATAGCAACAGCCTCGACACCGCCAAGTCAAAGCACAGGTATCCCATATGAACAGCCACTCACTGTTGGGTTCAATGCCTGCTTTATCTTCATTTGTGTCATGTCCAGAAATGTTTTGAGCTTCTGTGCCGTTTTCCTCATGCTCACAAACACAATGGCTCGTCCCCCATCCTCCTCGTCAATAAACATCTTGAGGATGCCAACCAGGTGCTGACACCTCTCAGACACAGTGTTCTCACTGTACTCCGTCACTGGGGCTTCCCGGATCAACTTTTTGTGCAGGGTATTAAAATCCCAGTGCAGGAGTTCGCGCAACACCCGCTGCTCTGCCATCCCAGAGCCCCGGCCCTCTTCGATCTCCTCGAACACATCCTTCAGGTATTTAGCTGCTGCTGCCCAGCCAACGACGAAGTTGATGTCATGGGCCTGCAGGACAGCCTGAACATGGCGCAAAAGGAGCTGCATTCGGGTGCAAATATCCCTCTGGTCAGCACTTATGTTCTGATCACACCTTTCCTTGAATTTCCTTCTCCTTATTCTGCATATGCCCCGCATTTTGTTGCTGTCCGTGATGGTCACTTCACCAAAGATGGGCTCATCACTCATACCATCCACTTTTTGCATCACTGTCCGTAAATATGCATCGACGTCATTTTTCAGGTCCTTTTCCTTATGAGATGTCCCTGCCAGGGTGTACGATGTCTTCGGCCTGGGTATGTGTTCATACACATCGGAGTCCTTCGGTGTGCACAACCGGCACAGCAGTGTCCTTTTCAACTCGAACAGCCTGTGCTGAAACTTTTCAAAGTCCTTGATGCCCTCATTGCTGTCCACCGGTGATGCGGACATGCATATCACCAGCGGGCGGTACTCATCTGGACACAGAACCGATGCGTAGTGCCTTGTCATCAATGTTGCATAGGGGCTTCTGCCGATGGCATGGTGGGCCTCGTCAAGGACGAGGCAACAGATGTCACACATCCGCAGGACTGCTTCTTCAGTGAGATAATTGTTCAGCACTTGGCACGTGATGATAAGAACATCCGCTTTCAATCTGGCAACAGTCTGGACCAATTGCATGGCACACAAGCAATCAGCAGCTGCATATTCTCCTCTGCTTGGCCTGCACAATTGCAACATCATTGTGCCAGGTGTAGGTAGGGAATAAGCCATAAAAGCAGGCGTTAGAACAAATTATGACAATCGCAGACACCAAAAACCACAGACTACAGACTCAGCACGTTTCAAATTGGCAAACATGGTCGAATGGAGCAATTCCAGCTTTTGTACGGGTCGCCGATTCAAATCCCAAAACATGTCCAAAGAATGGCAGATTGGCAAGCAGCATGTCACCTGACCTTGGCAGTGCTCCTTTGCCGTGCTGTGTCCTCCATCTGCCCGTGTGCAGTGACAACCTTGATGTGAGGTATTTGTTGTTGCAGCTGCTTTGCCTGTTGCTCAACAAGGGCCACCGTGTTCACAACGAACACAGCCATCTTCTGAGGGTTAACACGCAGCATGGCATGCACGACAGCAGCGGCTATCAGCGTTTTTCCTGCGCCTGTTGGAAGGCAAATCAAAGAATGGGACTGCAGAGCTGCTCTCGCCATCTCGACCTGATAGTCCCTGAGCTCAAGGTTTGTCAGCTGCTGCAGGGTCTCTGTTGTCAAGGAGTCCTGGTCCACGAAGTTCGTTGTCAGCTTTGGCTTGCCGCTCATGGTCGCCAGGTTTTCACTGCCATTCAGCTCCTCGTTGCTCATGCTGGGCACCCCTGCCTGCATGAGCTCTTTTGACACCAGTCTCCATTTCTTTGTCCCGATGAGGAGCCCGTCTGGCCCATAAAATTTCGTCCTTGGGCAGCCGAAACAATCCAGCAGGCCAGCGATGCCCTGCTTGGTGGTTGAACCAACTTCCTTCCCACAGGATATGCACAACAACCTGAAAAGAATGTGCCCATTCTTCGTGTCACCATCGGTCTCTACATGTCTTATGGTGTTCAGCTTTATGCTTGGAGCAGCACATAATGACACAGAGCCTGTGTTAGTGTCTGTTATCAATCGCAGATCTTCTGCGCTGGCGATTCCATAACCGCAGATGCAGTGGAGCTCCGCCATGTTTTTCTCTTCTTGCAGTGGATTCACAAGTTTTAGCACCTGCGACACAGTTGGAAGGCAGTGTTCACTTACCCAACGATCCAAGGTGCACAGAGATTCTGGATATGCAGCGGCAGGCGGCAGTCTGCACCACCAATTAGCAGGAACACTCTGAGCCCATAAGTCTGCTGTGCCAACTATGGCTACCACCCATTCCTGTCCCAAAGTCGCAATTCAGGACAACCCCATCGACAACCGACAGAAATGACCAACAGATGCTGCTTTAAGGCTTGCACCGAAATGTTTGTGCAGCAACCCTTGGAGTACCTGCACATGCTGATGTTGAATGTGGTCTATTCATTGAGCGACGAACGGCGCACATTGGCCACTGCACACTCGTTGCAGGGAAACATCCGGTCCACGAAGAAACACAGCCAGTGGAGCTAAGCCTTATGCATTGGGTTGCTGCAATGGTTGCAAAGGTCGCCATATTCTCCAAATCACTAAAGGCAGTATGCAAAGGTGGAGGTGACGTGTGGGCTGGGCTTCCACCCGAATCAGGCCCAAGCGTCCCAGGCAGCTTTCGTAACTGCTGTAGCAGGAATGCAATTCCCATTATTCCACGTTCTCCACGATTGACAGTCACCCCCGATGCCCCCCTTTCCCAACCACCGCACCCCGGAACGCCCATCCCCCGTCCCTGTCTCGGCTTCTCATGATCCGGACGAACGGACGACCATCGACAGTATTGACCACGACGCCCGACATTAACAGAGGCACACCACGCATCCAGGCAGCTCGCCGGGTGCCCAGCGCGTCCACAGACAGACAAACAAACATATCTCACCCCTCGCTGTCACTGAATACTGCGTTGCGCCGGTCTCCCACGGCGATTGGGGCGTGGATCTTCTCTTCGCTGCTGGCCTGGTTATCTGCTCCCTGCGGATCCAGCGTCATTAAAACAACGTGCGGGTGGATCCCTAATCGTCGCCGACGAATCAGAGCCACAGCGCCCACCCGCAGTCCAGAGCCGCGGCTCCGTAGCGGAGAAGGCCCGCCGATACGCCCCGGAACGTGCCCAAGTCTCGCCTAGGGATTGTCGTGCGGAATGGCCAAGGGTCGTCCTCACAGAAACGCCATTGGGCCAATTCTCTCCACCTTCTCAAACTACGGACGTCAGACATCTCTGCTGATCGGTACCGCGCAGACCAGGAGGACTGACCCCCACAAAAGCGTGACACTGGGGTGCGTGAGCTACTTTGAAATATTAAACCCTTCCGCATCAGAAAATTTCACCGTTATGCTTTTTGCTCCGTATTTTGCTTTTCAGAGTGTTATCTCTATTTTTTTACGTTGCTCCACACAGGAAGGCCAAGATTTGCGTTACTATTTTTTATTATTTTCTCCGAAAAAAAGGACTAAGCCTTACGTCACTGTGCGGAAGGGTTTAGTATTTTACAGTGTTGGAAAGTTTCCAAGGTGTAACACTGCGGACGTCTTGTTCGAGTTCTCTGTTCGTCATGTTGTCACGTAAGTCCGTGAGTGCTGCATAGCCCATATATGGCGACCGACTAGGTGGGACCACACCATGCATTAGTCACAATTTCGGCATGGAGATCCGCCGAACGTCGTGATACGGAATGCAAGACATGCTTCGCTGGCACGACATCGCCAGAGGTAATATTCACCGGAAGATACAGTCAGGTTGTTCTTTGCGTTTGCGACTGCATTTTTACGTTTATGTGTTTATGCGCAAACACACGCAGATAGAGAAAGGGCCATATTTGCGCATGTTTGCGGCTCGTAGATACGCCCACACTACATGATGATGTCCCCCCATCAACGATCAATCCTCCGCTCTATCCAGCACCCGCAACACAGTGCGCACTCGCCCTCAGCAAGGGCAACGACACCGCCGAGCAAAATATCGTTTTGTGCATACTTCAGCGCGTCCAGCCACCACTCCCCGGACTCTCTGAGTCTGTTTGTACTGTCTTTAGGTACACAGGGCCCATGCTAGCGCATTTTTGTGGCTATTTACGGGTAAAACGCAAAAACCATTTTTGCGCATAAGTTTTAAGCCGTAAACAACAAGCCTGGATACAGTGATTGATACAACACTCAAGCTACACAAAAACACGCGAGCTCCAGTGTGCAGACAGAGAAAACACGAGGTGGACAGATGTGAACGCCCGAGCACGTCGGCGACGGCGTATTGTGAAACCCAGCCAAACCATGTGCAAATCGTCCAGCTATTCTGCAGTTCGGAACCTGCGCCACGAATAGCACATGTTCATGTCAACGCTTTCGCAAATGCTGCTTTTCTCAAAGCTAAACACTTCGTCTCTGGACAGGCTTCGACCACGTGCAAAAAGCATTTCGCAGCATCCATGCCGCCCCAGCGTCGATTCTCCTCACCTCACCAGGCCATCCACCTGGTGCTCGCCAAGTATAGGTGCACATCAGTCCAAGCCACTCGCCTTCTCCTCACGAGCAATCTGCTGAACCAACTCGTGGATCCCATTCATTGAAAGTTCAGCAAGCATGTCGGCAGCATCTCCCCATCGCCTTCGCCATCGACCCGGCCTTCACCCTCATTCTCCAGCCCCTATCTACACCGGCATTCGTGTTGCGTTTAGCCTGTCACATTGTTGCCCTGAATAGTATTGCTGAGTTGAATTGATGAATTCTGCTCGGGCGCCCGAGCCTATCGATAGACAGATATCTGTCACTTTGGGGGGTGACAAATGCGCATTTCAGCGGACATGCTTCCCGACTAAAGTCACCCTGGCGAGGTGGTCTGTACAGAGCAAACTCAACATGAGATAATTAAACCAAATCCCAGGCTGCGAACAGCCAATGGGGAAAAAGTGATAGCCTTTCCTGCCACGTTCAATCATGCTCTAGCGACTGGGCCGCACAACATGCAAAGGAGGAAAACAATCGACATCAGTAGAAAGATATCAGGAGAAGTATCTCAGCAACATATGTACGTGCTGCTTTATGGTATGCAGCACTCAGGCCACACCTTTGCACGTATTTTCAGTGTGAATATGAATTCCAATTGTGGCTCCAGTCATCGTGGCAGAAAACAATACCTTTTCCAAGAAGTTAGGATGAAGGTCAGAAAGCTCTTGCTGTGAAGCTCATGAGCAATTGCAAATCGCCAGAATGAAATTGATAGTTGCTGCCAAACGACGTCAAACATAAACTCCCAGGTTCGAGCAGTTGTATCCTGCGGGCAGGAATCTATTTCCAATAAACAGGAATGGAATGCCAGCACGGCCATGACTTTTCCTCGCCAAACCAGCGATGGATGCGCATTCTTCATGGAGTAGACAGAGAATGAGAGAAAACTGGAGTTGCGAATTACGAGAACTGGGCTCCTGCTGACAAGGTAAGGGTCCACTCACCCCAGCTGGAGTGAAGATCATACGGTCTCATTGAGTAAGTATCGAGTAGTATTGCAGTACATAGTATATCGAGTAAGTATCGAGTAAGTATTGAATTTCGCATTATATTACTTAAAGTTTCCGTCGTGTGTTGCGTTTGGCTTTCTTGTCAGAAAACGAAACGCAGCGTGCGATGGAACCAATGACATGCTGCACAACACCTGTTTGGGTAAACGAGCATGCTGTTGGCAATTGTATTTATGTGGTAAGGAAAACAAACGCGGAAAACAACTTGTTTTCGCGGCCTGACTTTCCTTCCAATCCAGTTGCCATTTCCTCCGCGTCTATGGGCCCTCGTGATTCTGAAACTGTCAACGATTATTTATTGCAAGGCTATCAATGATCTCTGATGGGGATGCCATGATGGGCTCGCTGTGCCGCACAACTGGATTGTCTACGCAATGCTTGGCCAAGGGCAAGCGTTTGGGCGGGGCCCACCTGGCAAGACAACGTACGCTTGCGCATTTGTTGGGCATAACGATGGGACCATACCTCACTTGCGAGTGGACGAGGAACGCCAGGAACAGACGATGGCTGCCCCGCTCTGCCAGCGAGCTGCGGCCCATCCTGCGGAAGATGACCAGTATCATTAGTGGAAATGGCCATTTTTGGGAGGCCAGGTGACAATAAATGACGGCTACCGGGACGCCACTGGGATGCCATTGAGATGCTTTCTCGAGCGTTGGCTGAGTTTGGTGACAAGAGGAAGTGTCCCTCAGTGGCGTCCCAGTAATCGTCAATTATTGTCACCTGGCGTCCCAGAAATGGCCATTTCCACTAGTGTGTGATGTACTTCACACACATGTCCATGATGTGGTTACCGTGAAAGAAGTTTTGAGCCCATGCATGATGTGTAATTTCCAGCTGATCTCGCGATGTCTTCGTTGCTCGAACGAGAGTTGCCTCAGTGTCGCCCTTTCCTTATCGATCCACAATGAAAGCTAGCTGGTGGTTGTGCAGCAAGGCGCCACATGTCATTGCCCCCAAATGTCGGAACTTGTTGCACAGCCACTCGTGTCGTATCGAGAATGCTTAGTTTGCAATGTCAACGTGTTTGCCCATTGTGCCAGGCCAGAACACATCCCATGTGGTGTGCTGCAAGATGTCATGCATGACATCTTTTCTGGCCCTGCGGATCAAAATGTGTCCAGCAACGCCAATGGCTGGGCCGCAAGGCCTTCGTACCGCAACCAGTGACTGTGATGTCGCTTGTTGCGTGTCCCAAGCTGTCCAGGGTGTCCAGGGCCAAGCCCTCGCCTGTTGCCATGCGGCGTATTCGGCGGTGCTCGCGGACCAACGCGCTTAGCTGTGACCCTTGTCGCTGCACACCAGTGGCACTCTAGCCCCTGAGTGGTGGTGACTGGGGATCCATCAGGAGGGCGCCTGTCGGGCTAGGCATGGTGGCGTGAGCATCTGGGAGGGAGGAGAGTACAGTTCACGGATACCCGGTCATAACCTCGCGCTGGGAGCGCCATCCAACGGCATATTTCTGGCGAGTGGTTGGAATTGCGCTTCCAATCCCAGCTCATTACACGCGGGATTCCGGTGCACTGGGAGAAGTTTCAAGCCAGGCTGACTGAAGTCTCCACGCCCTGACGTGACACTGTCGACGGGATCGACGGCATGGCGGGCCCGAATCTCCTCAACCTGGAGGTAGAACCTGAGCGCTACGGGAGCGCAAGTTTTGCTTTCGCGGGTTGATGTGATCTCGTGCAGGAGGTGCTTAATCCTCAATTGGAGCGCGGCGCTGAATTTCTGACACATGTGCTGGAGATTCGACCTGCACGTCTCCATTTTCTTCTCAGAAACGCTTGCCACGCATTCGCTGGTCGATACATGAGGACTGAAATACGCTGTTTTGCAGCTGTCCTGCGCTTCTGTCGACGGAGCCCTCGGTGGCCAGCCGAAAGTTGAGCGATCGGTAGCAGACCTGTTGCAGCACCCGGGCTCAATGAGCACATAAGCAGCGGACAACATTCTGCAGACGTGCTGTTTTGAGTGGATCATACCAAGCTGCTGTGACTTGCCGCACCACAGAACCATGCCTCAGCCACATGGTGGCTGAGCAGTGTTGTTCGAGTTCTGAAACGTGCAAGTGAGAATCTTCTTGTAAATTTGGAGCTTCACTGGACTCACAGAACGTTCAGCGATTGAATGCAGTCGTTTCACCAGGTAGTCTTGCGCTCAGAACCTCCTCGATGTCTTTTCCACATGGAGTTTATGGCAATCTCCAGTGGGGAGCCTGAATGTGCCACCAATCAAGGCAACCGAATTGGTCTGTTTGAGTGCTGCTGTGATGAGTGCTGATCACCTTCAGGGAGAGAGGTGGGAGTCGATGAGGTATATGCTTCAGGGTATTGTGTAATGTCTCAAGAGCCGTCCACAGTGGTTGGGCCTGCACACCCAGAAAACGGCCTTGGACATTGCAGTGGCCATTCCATGTCGGTAGCTGTCGATTCTAATGCTGTTACCGCTGCTGTTACTGCAGGTGTTCATTGAGCTCTGATCCAGCACAGATCACACAACGTATGGCTGCTCTCTGGTGCTCTCAATGCAAACAGGTCCTGGCCCTTGCCAAGGATCTTAGATGGTTTCAAGATGGCAGCAGTGATGCTGTTTCCTTGTGCTCTGTTCCTGGCACATTGCTGGACAGTATTGAGTACAAAGAGCCCTCTCTTGTTGGGGGAAAGTCGAAGGTTCAAAGAAAATTGCACTGCAAGCAATGTGACGAGGACATTGGAGCTCGGACGAAATTGGGACTGTGCAGTGGGCGTGATTGTTTCAGCTACAAAAAGACTGTGTTTGTGGAGTCACAGGGAAAGAAATTCCCAGGAGCAAAATGGAAGTCAGTCCTGCAGGAGCTTTGTCAAGCAGGTGTTGCTGAATTGGTCAGCATTGCTGAGGGACGACCATCAGCCACGGATCCAAAGGTGTCAATAGTTTTGGCTGATCCAGAGTCATTGACAGACGACACTCTACAGCAACTGGCAAAATTTGAGCTCAGGGACTACCAGCTGGAGATGACGCGGGTTGCCCTTAAAGCGAACTCTCTGATCTGTCTTCCAACTGGGTCTGGGAAAACCTTGATTGCAGCCGCAGTCATGCATGCAATGCTGCGCCTGAATCCACAGAAGATGGCTGTGTTTGTTGTGAACAATGTGGCCCTTGTTGAGCAGCAGGCAAGGCAGTTGCGACAACAGATACCACATGCGACAGTGATCGCTGTACATGGGCAGCTGGAGGATGAGATGGAAGTCAGAAGAGCTTACAAGGTGTGGTACATTGTGATGCACCAGTGCATCGCTTTCAACTACGTGTCATTCCCCCTCATAGTAGCTGACAACCTTTATGTGGCATGTCTGTCCCAATCAAAGTAAGGGCAAGGGGAATAAATTGATGGTGTTCCTCCATTTGCAGATGTTGTGCAAACAGTGCAAAGTCCTTGTATCCAGTGCAGCAATGATTCAATACTGTAAGGTGCAGAGGCAGCCCTGCCCATCGTCATCGTGTGTGCCAGCAAAATCTTGGCTGGAATGCTTCCTGCTTGGAGGGCCTCCCTGGTGGTGCTCGAAGGAATGTTGACAGCTTTGAACACATAAAGAACATGGTGCTGACCACAGTTTCTGATCAGTTGATTGAATGGCCTGCATGATCTTGTCCTCCTAAATTGGCTTGTGTTCTCATGCATGTCTTTCTCCCATTGTGCGTTTTGAGTTCTTCTATTTTGCGTTTGCGGCAGAATTAAGGATTTCGAGCCGTAATGTAATGGTCAAAGCATTCTTAAACAACCATTGCATTTGGAAGAATGACTATGACAACCTTGCAGGTGCAAGCCCATAGCATTGTGACGTCTTGCTGAATGCAATCAAGTCTGGGCTTGTTGTCTCCACAGCTGTTGGTGGGGCACCCGTGCATACTTTCAACTCATGGGCATTAGTGTGAGCATGCTGGTACTGCAGCACAATTTGCTTGCGACAGTAAAGTCGAATCACCTCACTGCGAAATTGGTGTGCAGTGATTATACTGCCAAGAAAATTGCGACACTGTGGACTCACAGTTGTTCAACTTGTGTTTCGCATTGTTTGTTGACATGTGACATATGCCATGTAGAAAGGAAATAGCTTGCCATGGCTGCATACCTCATATGGAAAATGGGTGCCCATCATCGGGCTTACTATGTTCTCCAGACATGCTACTGTCCATGATTGAGAACACCTGGGCATCCCTTGAAGATCATTGAAATTTGGATATGAGAAAACTGCACTCTTTGTATTGGGCGTCAGCTACACAGCACCCCCTGAATGCAGAAGATGTGAAAGTGACTTGTGCGTGCTGTGCTCTGACCAGATTGCCCGTGATCGTGGAGCCGATGCATTGGTGGTCACTTGCGGACTGTTGAACGGCTGGCTTCTTAGTGAAGATGGCATGCGGATGTGTGATGTTTGCTGCTTGGTCCTTGATGAGGCACATCATGCAACAGGAAATAGCGATTATGTGAACCTGATGAAACGGTTTTGGATGCCACTTCTGGAAATCTACCGTCCATTGGTAATGGGGCTGACAGCCTCACCGGTGGATGGTACAGGGGACATTACAGACCAGAAATTCTCTACCCAGTTGGACAACCTGAAAACTGCGTTGCAGTGCCGACTGTGCACCCCACAGAATTGTTCAGTCTACGATCACATAGCACTGCCAACGGCATATGCAGTCTGTGCAGAATCCCCTTCACATAAAGACGAGCATCTCAGGGAGCAAATTGAGAGTTATCTGAAGAAATTGATGCTATTGGCTGGGAACCTGCATGTGACAGGGTTGTTTGATGCATGTGACTCTGCAACTAGCAACAAAATGAGGTCATTGTTGAGGAAGGAGCTAAAGAAATCGAGATCAAAGATTAAGGAATTGGGCCCGGTTGCTAATGAACAAGCAGCCCAGCAAAGAGACAAATGTATGAAACTCCAGTTGATCCTGGAGCACTTGCAAGACGTGCTGGAGGTTTTTGACGTTAATGAGGTTGTGGGCTGGACAAACGCAACACAGGTTTTGATAAACCTGTTTGAGAAGATCAAAGAGGGCCAACATGGGACAGCTAGCAAGGAGCAGAAGGCAAAACATGATTTATTATGCCCGGTTTTCAAAACCTGGCATGCTGACCTGGCTCGTGATAGGCCCCCGCAGGAAATCAGAGAGGCTGTTGTATCGAGCAGGTGTCAGGAATTGGTCAAAATCCTCAAGGAATTCATAGAGACAGAGGAGGCTGGTCAGGCGATTGTGTTTGTTGGAATGCGAAAGACAGCCAAGAAATTGACCACATTTCTGGCAACGAAATGTCCGGACATTGGGCTGAAGCTGCACCCTGAGGTGAGCGGATTGGCAGGCAGCAAATGCACCACCCTTTACATAGCCTTAGGCATGAGAATAGAGTTGTCAGCGCTGGATTTGTGCAAATTTTGCTCAATAGCTTTGCTGGTACAAGTAGAACATTCTGGATCATTTGGGACAACACCCTCTAGTTTGGCAAGACACAGCTGCAGCTGCAACGTTGCTGCAGTGTTGGGTGGCCTGCAAAACATACTGTGGCTTGTGCTTGTTGGCTGGCTGCCTCCATGTGAGCAATTTTGTAACAATCACCGATGTAAGCTTAGATACACATGTGAGTCACAAATAAACAGTTAGCAAAGAATTATGTGTTGTGAGGCATGTTCTCATATTTTCTCTAGTTTATATGGGGTGCATCAGGTGCAGCCAGCTACTGAACCTGCAATGTACTCCCTTTGCCAACCGTTCCTGGTGGTGAGATTTGCATTCCGCATGCCCTAGGCAGTTGTTGGGCATGGGCAAGCCGGAGCTGATGGAATGGAGTTTGAGGGACAGCAGGATCAGGTTCTCAACAACTTTCGAAGAGGATTTACCAGATTGCTTGTCGCCACATGTGTGCTTGAGGAAGGCATTGACATTCCGAAGTGCAGCCTGGTGGTACGCTTTGATGAAGATACTCCCATTCGTGCGTTGATCCAGAGTAGGGGGCGTGCTCGGGCTAAGGATGGAAGGCTAATAGTTATTTGCACATCAAGCAAGAGAGTCGAGTTGTTGTGCAATACAGTTAATCAGGAGCATTTGATTTTGGAGGCTTTGAGGAAGGAAATGAAAAGGACAGACATCCATGGTGGGTGTGGTGAGCTCCCAGAAGCATGTGCAAAGCAGGAGTTGGAGGTGAATCCAGACACAGCCCCCCGTTGGAGACCACCTCCATCAGCTTCAGGGCAAGAGGTGAGCAAATACCCAGAATGGGGTGCAGATTTTGGCCAAGATGATCTTATTTGTGACCTGACATTTGGGCATGGAGAAGATGGTGATACCACAAGTGATGATGGATGTGAGTCTGGCACCGATGGAGCTGACTTTGTGCAGTTGGCATTTACTGGGATCTTCACAAGACAAATGTATCCACCTGAGGATACAATGAAATCGAGACTGCATGGCATCTGTGATGTGCTGCATTGGAATAAGATAGTGCTGCCCGTCAGGGACATCCTTGGTGTCATTGAGCACCATGACTTCTGGGTGAGGCCACCTGGCTGTGCAGAGTATGCAGACGACCAGAGGAAATTCGAAAGGGAATTTTGGCAGCATTATTTCAGTGAGGGGCATGACGATGTGTGGCTTCAGATCCACAAGAAGCCAAACCTTGCAGGCCGTGCAGTGCGGCTGCAGGTGGCCAAGTTCACACTGGGTTCATGGTACAACCATCATGAGTTTATTGCTGGGGCTGAGCTGGGCAGTGTGTTGCGTCTGTCTCTCGACCATTCGGAGCGAGAGATCGTCATTGAGGTGGACGAGGTGTTTAGTGTGGAGTTCAACTTTTGGGAGGTCCAGGACTTCATTGTGGTCCATGCGTCTCCGGACCTGACAGATGTGGCATTGCACCTAACGCTGCGCCACCCACCTCGCCTGTACAAGGTACTGAAGGCTGAGGGGACCAATGTGGAGACCAGGAATCGCCTCACAGAAATCAAAGAGGCCAGTGGCAAGATTGTGGACTCGGACTGCTTCGCCCAGTGTCTGACATACAGGCTGCAGCTGGCCAACCCTGAGAACAAGGAAGCACCCTTCACACCGAACATAACCAAGTGCCTCAAGCTGTTCCATGGGGTGGGGAAGCGCATCTTCTTTGCAATAGTCAGGAAAGTGCCCAGTGCGGATGGGGGCCAATCGTGGAATGCTGGCATCTCACCGAAGTGCAAGCACCACAGTGATCCTGAGGTCAATTATGCATGGTGCTGCATTCGCAGCTCCTCAGGTTTTGTTGCAGAACGGTTTGATGACGTCTTCTTTGAGGAACTGAGCCATGTTCCTGGTGTCGTTGCATGTGAATGCCTGTACATAATGGTACATGACCTTGGGCGATCCCTGTTTGGTACCCCTGCAAGTCTGTTCAAACGTGCAAGATGGACGTATTTCAACAGATCCACTGTGGATGGCATTTCTGGTGAAGGCCATGCCAAGGTTAGGCGCATGGTCTTGACACCCACAAGAATGGTGTTTTTTGAGCCAGACACAATGCAGGTAGGAGAATGGTTTAAATGCAAGACAGTGTTGAATGCCATGGAATATGTTTATTGAGGCCACACTATTCACTTGGATATGTGGTGCCATGCCCATAAAATCGTGTCTTCAGAAATTGTGCAATGATTTCAGGAAATATTGGAAGATGTGCAAGTTTTGCTCTTGGAATTGCCATACCCAAATGTTGTGATGCATGACACGCTCAGTGCCACGCAATGTGCCATATGGGCTGAAGGACTTGCAGCTGACACTGACAGAATGCCACATTCTCCAATTGTTGTGTTGCAGAACACTTTTGGCCTTGCTGTTTGTGACATGTTGTGAACATTTGAGTAACAGTTTGAAATCAAAGAAGAACAGCTGTCTCCCATGGTTATGTTACAAAGTCGAAGGTCCCAAACTAATTGTACAATTGTTGCTGTAGCGATCTATGCTGTGCCCAATGCTCAGCTCGTGTGGAACTGTCATCAAAGCAAGCTCTGTCTCTGAAGTTCTACTTCCCTGTCTTGTTGCACCACGCCACCAATGTGCAAGGTCCACTCCTGTTCACCTCCAATTTGGCAGTTTAGAGCCCTGCCTGCGTGGTTCAATTGGCAATAGCACTTGGAGCGTGTACTGGAAGCTTTCAAGGCCCCAGCTGATCGAGGACTGCCGCTTGTCTGCCTCTGACTGTTCTGCTGCTCCGTGTTAAGCACAAAGCCCAAGTTGCCCAAAGGCATGCTTTGGTGCTATGCGATGCGCTTGCTGGCACCATTTGTGGCTGAAGAATGACAGGGAACAGAATATCTTAACCACGAAAGAAAGCAGTCGATGTCAATGTCCAAACTCTACTGCAGCTTGTCCCCAATGCATGGGAGATGTCTGCGGTTGCAGAACAGTACTTATGGAAGTATGTTTCATGCTGGTCCATTGCATAGATCCTCATAACCTATATGCACTATGGAGTGCATTGCCAACAAATCTGTTGCTGAGGATGTTTTCAGAGCAAGCGATGCAGAATGCCTTTGGGGTATCAGTTACATTGGTAAGAGGATCTGAACCAGAAAGTATCGAACTAAGTTTTTGCACACGAATCTTCCACATGGAGCAACAAAATCGTTGAGCCACACCTGGCCCCAATACCCTGCTGATCCACAGCTGCTTATTGAATGATCAGACCAACCGAGTGTTGAGAAGATTCGACTCGAAAAACTTCATTCGTGTCAGCATCCGCGATGAAAACTTGGACAAACTCTCAACCATCAAAGGCGAAATCACTATGCTGCTTAAAAGGGTTGCAGAAGTGATGAAGACTGGATTCAAGGCTGGAAACGTAACCCACTACAAGTACTTGGCTGCCTCCAACAGCCAGATGCGCGAGCACGCATGCTATTTTGTTGAAGAAGGAGAGGAAACTGCAACAGGCATCCGACGCTGGATTGGAGACATCAAAGGTGAGTACAGTGGCATTGTTTGTGGTGTGCTTATGTACTGGTATCTCATTGCTTTGGAGATGACAGGGAACATTGTGCTGACAGCATTTTTGTCGTACTTAGCAAGTGCAAACCAAAGTGCCACTCTCTGCTGACTGTTTGCACAATTTGGGAAACTTGAGCAAAGAGCCATCTTGTCCAACTGGTGTTGCATTTCAGAATTGTGAATACCTGTATTGCAGAGCACAATGTTGCAAAATATGCAGCTCGCTTGGGACTTGGGTTCTCCACTTCCAAGAGAACAGTTGCAGTTGAGAAGTGTGACATCTGTGAGGAGCCAGATGTCAAGAGAAATGGATACACCTTTACCGATGGCATCGGCAGGCTGAGCAGGCGACTTGCAAACAAGGTAAGCTGCCACCTGGCTTGCCCGCGATCTGAAAAGATCAGAAACTATGGTGTCTCATCGAGGTGTATGCCCCTCTTGTGATGGGCCTCGACTGGAGGCGCATAGCCAACAGTTGCTGAAAGTGAATGTATCACAAACGCAAACAATGACACTCACCATCGCATAGTGCTTCAGGCATGCGTGTCATCGCATAGTCTACTTTTTCAACAACAGCAAGGTGTGAAAGAATGCATACAGACAAGCACACAATGGAAGTGGTACCCATTTAGCTGGCAGTATCGATTGTGTGACAGTCCTCACTTTTGGTGGTGCGGCAGTGCCCATGCAAGTTGGTGTTGTCTTATATGGTGGTGCAAACAGATATGGTCAGTGCACATGTTGTTGTCCTGTACACTGACCATATCTGTTTTTGATTGATCGCAACACAGGGATACGTGATCAAGACAATAGTGCATGGTCGCTGAATTGCATTCCTTGAAGCTGCGGCAATGCCGTAAGACTCGATTCCTTCCAGAGCCAACCCATCTCTGGGCTTTGCACAATGCACTGTGGTGGACATCTCGATCAAGCTGTGGATTTCATTGTGCAGATTGCTGAAGCCCTGTTGACGTGCTGGGTCCCATCAGCCTACCAGATACGCTTTGGGGGCTCAAAGGGAGTCTTGGTGATGGACAGCCAGCAGCACAGTGTTCCACCAGGCACAGAGCTCGTACTGCGGAAAAGTATGATCAAGTACAACTCAGAGCACAATTACATTGAGGTTTTGGACACATCAAGACCAATCAGACTAACACTGAACCAGCAGGTGATGGGAAATTGTCAGGTTCTGTTGACTGCCTTGGCAGCAGCTGTTGCTGGCGACTTACTACCTCCATTTCAAAAGTATTGTCCGAATGTGTTTTTTTGCAATAACTTTGCAAGATCAACTCAATTAGTCAATCTGACACCAGATTCAGATTACTTGGTGGATTTCCGATCGACTTGGATCCAGATTACAATCATTCAGCACTGTGCAACAAAAATCCATAGTGTTTTGAAAAGCGTCCCTGTCCACGGTTGTGCACGCTTTGAGTTGCCCATCCTGTTGGGCTTGCCTAATCCCCGGATGTTCCATCGTGTACCCATTTCCTCCAAATTCCTCAAGTTCTTTGTTGTACATGACAAACAGCACTGCCACATGTGCTGAAGGGTTTTTGCATCATACTCTTCAGATGCTTCCTCTCAACAGTTCTAGCCATCTCAGCCACTGTGCTAAATTGTAATTGGTGTGATGACACATGTGACACAGTTGTAGTACCGACTGTAATTGTCTTGTAGTCACTCTTTCACACTCACTGCTGGGTGCCCACCGCTCCTCTGTTCCCATCCTAGCATGTGGCACGAAAACCTGCTGGCGTTTACCATCGTGCTCACTAACCGTCCCACACAAACACAAAGAAATACACGCCCGCTGGCCAGCCCAGGGGCAGCCCATGAACTAAGTATTCCCGCTGCAAAGATTGCTTTTGCCTGTGTTTCCATTAATGTCTGTGGATGTGAGAAAGTGTTGCAGACCTTGGTATCCAGGCATTCAATATTTAAACAGAAATTGACCATCACAACACTCACCACTTGCAACTTGCATGGAAGGTCTTCATCTCCATACTAATCTTGCTTTTGACCAGCATTACAAAGGCTGTCAGTTGATAGGTCTTGCCATTGTCAGCATCTCCTAATTGTTACTTGCTGCTGCTGTTTGCTTTCGATTCTTATGTCAATTGACTGGCAGCATAATTATGGCTAGGAAAACACATATTGTGTGTGATGGCTGTGGCTGTTGTTGGCAACAGTGAACATTCCATACACTGTTGTCAGAGTATTGTCTGAATTTTGGGATGGGGCCATCACAGATCATCATGCTTCTGAGCAACCTTGGGGTATCAGACAGTGCTTTTCTCCATCTTTTGAAGACACACCTGGCACATCTGGCAGAGATGTTCACTAGTGAAAGCCTGGCTCAAGAAAAAGTGAAGAACATTGCATATGCCCACAGCAGAAAGCTGGAGGAAGCTAATGTTCACATCACATCTGAACCATACTTGAGGTCGCTGCTCATGGCTATGTACAGGTAAAGTTCTGGGGAGGGAAGAATGTAGCTGCAATGTGTTGTCCACTGTATTTGGGTTTCTTAACTTATGATGCACACCAATCGAAATAGGCAAGGAGGTACACAAAGTACCATGCACAGATGGACCCTGGAGATGCCACGAGTGCTTGACACATTTTAGGATAGCCTTGATTCCACACTGTTGTGAGTTCAATGAGCTCCCCGTCTAAGAGCTCCCTGTCATCGCTCATAGATCGGGACATTTAGTTCTGAAATGGAAAAAGGAAGGGTGAGCACAGTTTGACTTATGTAAGAATACTTGTCATGAAGTTGATGCTCCGGATCCATATTCGTGCAGCGACATGGGGATTGGGCTGCAGTGTCCAAATGTCTAAGATTGGGCTTGTAGGCCTCCGTGCATCACAAATATGGGTAACTGTCTTCTAAACAAGACATGTTGAACTGCCGCCCACCTCTGAGATTTAAACAGACTTGCCAGGTTTCTGTTCTTGTCTGTGCATATTTCAAATAGTACAATTGAAGAATCTTCCCATATGCAGCTGCAATAATGCTGCTGATATTACCATGTTGGCATTGTTACGAATTTTGGCGAAGCGAGCCTGCCCTGGCCATACCCCCACAAGCCTATTTCCTTTGCTGCTGCACGATCACCACCGAAAACAAAAGCAGAATGCAAGCACGCAGTTTAGCAAACCTAAACCTTCGTTTCGTAAACTGTGTGCTTGCTTCTGTTGTTGTCCTGCATTTCCACAGAACATGTTGTTGGGTTGTCTGGAGTGCTGTTTCTCTTGCTGTATCAGGTCACATATAAAAAGTCTTCTGGAGAAATCGAAAGTACCAATCGACGACTCCAAAGCCAGAGTATTAATGGGTGTTGTGGACGACACCAAGACGCTTCAGTATGGAGAGGTATGATTGACAGGATCGGCTGGCCTCAGTGCATTTCTATTTTATGACAGGGCCTCTGTCCCTTGAACACCCAACAGCAGTTGCTGGTAAGGAAGTGTTTGAGACTGTTGACTGCTTGTCCAGCATGGTGCTGGTGTGCATGGTCCTATCCCCTGGAAGGTTCCTTGAGGAAATTTCACCAATGCAATTGCACACAGAAGCAACTTGACAGCCATACTTC